ATGCTGCAGACTATTATTTGGGTAGCTTGGTTGTTCAGGAGGCAGGGAGACAGGTAACCAGATGTGGATTCCTGGTTAAGGAAATGACTCTTTGATTTTTAGTCAAGAATAATTCTTTGGTCACAGGACTTGGAGAAATAAATTGGTATTGACTGGAAGCCTCCTCCCTGATAGCTAGCTTTCAAAATGTAAAAGATGCTATGTAAGGTGCCACATGTAAGGGACAGTTTTCAAAGGTCCTTGAGGTAAGTCTTGCAACAACTGGTTGGGCAATGGTGCCACTAATATCTTGAGGGTAACCAAGAGCTGTAATATTGGACTTAAGGCCCACTCAGTAGGACAGAACTCAGATCTAGTATTGTAAAATTAGCCAAGAATCCATGACTGGAGAGGCCATAGACCCTAGAGAGCATATGACTACCATTTTGCTAAACTGAGTATAAATATAAACTGTCTTCTAAATATTTATCCTTATATCCATAGGTAAGTGCAGGTGGTCTTACCTCTCATCAAGGAAGTTTTTTTTTTCTTTCCAGCAGATGAAATCTATTCTAGAGAGCCGCAACTTGTCAGAATGTAGAAAATAAGTGGCCACAACATACTCATCCACAAATGGGAAATTTTTAACACAACATCTACACCCAAGGGTTTCAGAAAATACTGTAAGATCCAGAGGACCAGGATTTATGTGAGCTAGTGCCTTCTGGACATGAACAACAGTACGGTTACCTGCATGTGACCACATCTGGAGCAGGAGGCTAGCTAATTGCTCATATCTTGAGCTGCAAGCATGAAGCAGAGAGAACTGGAAAATGACATGAGTCTTAAAGCTTGCCTCCAGTGACACACTTCCTCCAACAAAGCCACATCTCTGAAACCTCCCAAAATAGCACTACCAACTGGGGAACAAGTGTTCAAATACACGGGCCTACAGGAGACATATGCATTTGAAACATCACGTTTGTCCAAGTGGTCAACCCCACACACAGATATATCCAGGCAACCGTACAAAACACACACACACACACACACACACACACACACACACACACACACACACACAGAGACTGGATGCTGGCAGCATGGCTTCACCCTGAGTGTGTGTGTGTGTGTGTGTGTGTGTGTGTGTGGTGTATATGTGTTGTGGTTTGGCACAGGAAGAGGGGTAAGGGAGGGGTGGATATGATATAAATACATTGTAGTTATATATGAAATTCTAAACAAAAATAGGAGATTAATTTGTTATTGTTTGTTCTTGCCTTTCCTCCTGGCATCTGAAGCTTCCAGGAAGGTTCTCGAGATGGAGGAGCTCTTGAATGATTGCACAGGGGCCAGCAAGCAGAACCTCACTGCTACAGAATGGGGTGAGAGAAAGTGAGCTTCATATCTAACTGTGCCACTGGAGAGCCATGATAGATACAGACAAGTAATACTGCGGGCACAACTGTTGCCCAGAGTTTTCATGGCAGAGCGGTGATTCTTTTTCACGGGTCTTACGATGTAGACCAGGCAGGCCTCTATCTGATTTTTTTTGTTGTTGTTGTTTTGTTTTTTGAGACAAGGTTTCTCTGTGGCTTTGGAGGCTGTCCAGGAACTAGCTCTGTAGAGCAGGCTGGCCTCGAACTCCACCTGCCTCTGCCTTCCAAGTGCTGGAGTTAAAGGCTCTGATTCTTGAAAGAATGCAGGAACAGTTGATTTGGGACAGTGGCTCTGCAGGTTGAATCTTGAATTTAAAGAGTAAGTGGAATGCAGACCAGGAACTGTTTGGAATTTCTGGGGACTGAACAATTAGCAAGCAGATGTTTTGGTTGCATAGTAGAGATGGTGGATGCTGGCAGCGTAACTTCTCCCTGAATAAGTTACTCTGTTTTATATCCTCTGTGTAGAGATAATAACATTAACTGCTCCATCCAGTCTGTGTGAGGATTAGGGTGGTGTCTGGAACAAAGTAGGTTTTTCATTTGGTACCATTGTCAGGTCAAAGATGACCAAAACAGGGAGCCAGGGATAGTGGCACATGCTTTAATCCCATCACTTGTGAGGCAGAGGCAGACAGATCTCTGTGAATTTAAGGCCAGCCTGGTCTGCACAGTGAGTTCCAGGACAGTCAGCACTATATAATGAGACCCTGTTTAGAAAACAAATAGAAACAACAAACAAACAACAGATGAGCCAAGGAAGGTTCCTTAGTATCAGGAACTACCAAATCAATGGAACAAAAAGAAAACAAGAAATCAGTTTCAGAATGGATAGGTGTTACAAGTAAGGTTTTTCCTGCTGGCCTGGACCCACCGTGGCTCCAGCCCCAAATAATACACCAAGACTCTGTATTTGATATAATGCTGTTGGCCAGTTACTTGTTTCTTATTGGCTAGCTCTGTCCTAAGTATAAACCCATTTCTATTAATCTAAGTATTTCTACGTGGTCTCATCTTACGGGAGAGTGGGCCTGGACCTCTGTTCTCTCCAGTCTCAACATGCTGACTCCTCCCTCCCTACTTCCTCTTCCTCCTTGTCTCCTAGTCCCTCCTATCTTCCTTTCCTATTGGCCGACAGTGCTTTATTCATTAACCAGTATGGGAAACTATTTACAGAATGATAACACCAGGGAGGAAAGTGAGGCTTTACTAGACCTAGTTAACACATAATAACCTCAGAGATCCATTTTGAACCTCTGCAGAACACCTACACTATGCAGGGTTATCAATTTACAAAACAAAGACACAGAAGAGAGTGATTTTCTTCTTTCTTTTTTCTCTCTTTCTTTCCGTTTTTAATGGGGAAAGTTTATTGGGGGAAGGAAATACAAGTAGGGAAGGGAGAGAGGAAAGAGAGGGAAGAGAGGCAGAGAGAGCTGCCTCCTCAGAAAAATGGCAGGGAGTGAGAGTGATTTTCTTTCTTGCTCTTTTCCCATTCCTCTCAAAGGTGACAAGACAGAGACCAGGACTTCCCCTCTTCTTGCAACCCACTGTACCCCAGAGCAGGCTGACTCGACCAGCCCCAGTTTCGGCTTAGCTGGCTGTGGAAGCCCTGGGGCTCTCCAGGCTGCAGGTTACAACCTGCAGCTGTCCTCCTTCTCTCAGCTGTCACTGGATGACTTCCAGGCCTCTAAGAATCCTTTTCTACATCTTCACTAAGAAGTCAAAGGAGACCTAGAGGCCAAAGAGACACTGCCTGTCCACAGTTCCTCGGTGGTCTTGTCCTGAATTCCCACGTAAACATACTTTCCAATTGAAACTGTGTAATTGTCTTTTTTCCTAGCTCATTGCCCCTGTTTAAGATTGAGAGCCTGTTGGTGGTGGTGATCGCCTTTAACCTCAGCACTCGGGAGGCAGAGGCAGGTGGATCTCTTAAGTTTGAGGCCAGCCTGGTCAACAGAATGAGTTCCAGGACATACCCCAAAGCTACACAGAGAAACTCTGTCTCAAAAAAACAAAACAAACAAACAAACAAAAAAAAAAACAAAGCAAAACAAAAAGGCTATATTGGAGTTGGCCATTGTAGCTCATACCTATAATCCTAGTTGCCTAGGGAGTCTGAGGTAGGAGCAAGTAGTCTAGACTCGGGTGTCTTAAGCTGTGGTAGTTTTCCTTCTTTGGCTGGGCTCACAGCACGTCTCGTGCTACTCACTTCTGACCTAGCATTCCTAACATGCAGTAAGGTCATTGACACATTCCCAAATCTGATTTTTGTGTTGGCTATATAGAACATTGCAGGATAGACATGCCTCACAAACCACCAATTAGTAGTCTCTGCTAGGCTGGCAATATTTTCACTTTGGTTTCATTGACACATAATAAATGTACCTGGGGTTTTTACTGCAGGTTAGGTGACATAGCTTTTTGAAATTTGCCTAATTATTGTCTCCATTTTACACCCAAGAAGAAGAAATTTGAGCCACCAAATAACTTGACCATGGTCACAGTTTGGGAAATGAGCAAGATTTGAGTTTAGTTTGCTTCTATAACTCAAGGTTATGACATAAAGGACTCAAAGGCAGTGGTAAAGGTTGAATGCATCCACTTATCTTGAAGAATGAGTCAGCAAACTGAGAGGGACTCGTTAGAGAAAATCATAGAACCAAGGCTCAAACTCTGATATTTTAAAAATGAGCTGAAGACGCTTTCAGATGAAGGGTCAGCTCTCGGACAGCTTGGTCTCAATACAAAATTTGAGAGTTAAGAGTAGTACAGAAGCCAGGTGTGGTGAGGCGCATGCCTTTAGCCCCAGTGCTCGGAAGTCAGAGGCAGGTGGATCTACGGCTAGGTACAGAGGCAGGCCAGGGAACTCAGGCCTGTTATTCCAAGTACTTGATAAGTTAAGACAGGAAGACTGAAAGTTCAAGGTCAATTTGAGCAACTGTGTGGATCAGTGTCAAAACCCCAAGCGAGGGTCTAGAGATGGCTCAGTGGTTAACCACACTGGTTGTTCTTCCAAAGGACCTGGGTTTGATTCTCAGTACCTACATGGTAGCTCATAACTGTAATTCCAGTTCCAGGGGATCTGATACCGTCTTCTGGGCTCAGCTGGCACTGTTTGCAGTTGGGTCATAGGCATACTTTCAGGCAAACACCTGTACATATAAAATAAAAAACCAAAATAACCCCCCCAAACATTCAAAGGCGTGCACCAGGGCTGCCTTTCTCTTTCTTAATAAACAAACTATCTCTATCTCGAAAAATAATAAAAGGAAGGCTGGGAATATAACTCCGAGGTAGAGCGCTTGCCTAACATGCATAGAACCCTAATTTCAATCTCCAGAAACGTCCCACCACCTCAAGAAAAAGGAAGAAAGAAAGAAGAAGAGAAGGGAAGAAGTAAAAAAGAGAGAAGAAAAGGGAGAGGGAAGTGTAGAAACTGTGGCATTTTAACAAACTTGCGACAGCTGACTACAAGTTCCAGAGAGCGATGCGCGAATTTTCCCGCCAGCGCCTCGGCCCGCCTTTCAAGAACTACATATCCCGGCATGCCCCGGGATGCACCGGTCCTCGCCCCTCGCCGGTTCCGCCCCCTTTCCCCACAGCCCCCGCCCGCCGGGTTGGTCTCGGAGAGTTTGTTCGGTGGCCGTGGCAGACGAAGGTGCAACGAGAACTCCAGCAGCCGCGCGATGGGCGATTCCAAAGTGAAAGTGGCGGTGCGGGTCCGGCCAATGAATCGACGAGGTGAGCGCTCGTCCCGGGTTGGGGGCGACAGGTGCTTGTGGTGCTAGAGCTTCGGCGACCCAGGGGGTCCTGGCGGGCACCCCTCACCGCGCGTGCGCCCTCGACGGCGCGGCCGGGCCCTCAGCCCTCCGCCCCGCCAGCTGTCACCGCGTTCGCCAGGCCTCGGGCCGCTCCGGCCTCGCAGCCCGCCTGTGCACGCAGCTCTCAGAGCGGACTGCCCCACTGTTCGATTTTCCACTTTCCATCACTTGAACCTGCACCTTGTGGCTGTTTGCAGAAAGGAAGGACGTGCCTTAGTTTCTTCTGGTTTGTGATTGTCGAGAGTTTCTTTTTTCTTTTTCCTTTTGCTTGAAGTGATAGTCATCAACTCAACAATAAATAGTCTCGGTGCCAAGATTCTTGGGAAATTGTATCCTTCAAACATGCTCCGAAGTCCGTAGGGAGGGTAGGGAAAGTAGATAAACCCCAGGACACGTAAATCATCTTTCCAAGTTGGAAGGACTGAAGCCTAAAACAAGTCCCCAGAGTAGATGGATTTTGCCTTTGCGGTTTCACCAGAGGCTGTCTGGCAGGGTGCTTTAAATGAGGTGTGTGTTTGAAAACACTTTATATACAAGTCTTGTTATTGAGCTTGCTGCTTCATTCTCAGGAGATGGAATTGCAGTTAATTGATTAGACTACCGACTATCTAGAATCGTTTTTAAAGTGCAGGAATCACTTTCTAAAGTTTCTTGTTTGTTTTATTGTGCTCAAAATCAAATGTGTGGGGGGAAATACGGTTTTTCTGTCTTCTTGCCCATTTATTGAAGTAAACAGGTGAAACAGTTGACAGATTTTCCTGGTTAGTTCTGTGGGTAGTTGGCTTTCCTGTTTCTTGGCGTTGGCTTGCCCACCTGAACCTGCGTAATTCTATGAGGCAAGTTTTTGAGACTTAACTTTTAAAGCTCTCACTCAGCTAATTGTCTCCTTTCATCCAGGCTCTCACAAAACAAAGTAACTTAGAAATCTAAAAGTTTTCAAAAGCTTCCAATTTTTGAGTATCCATACATCTTTATTTTAAGTTCACTTCAAATTTATTGTGACCATCACCATGATTTCAAACAAACAAACAAAAATCTACCACCAACAAACAAGCCAGATGGAACCTGACTTATCGGGGAATGATTCAGAAAGGATGGGTTCAGCACATTCTTAAAATTTCCTTTTTGCAAAATACTTGGAAATGTCAGTGCTGAGAGGAGGCCGCTAACAGGCCACCTCAGCAGGGCTTGAGTAGCTACTTAGAGCCTGACTTTTCGTCCTTGTTTTCTTCTACAGGGACGAAGCTACTCTCTCTACTAAATTTGCCGTGATTGTAACCCTGACATCAGTTGTTAATAATGCTCAGGGTTTGGAGACACGAATTGGATGATTTTAGCTGTGGAGTGAATGTTAGCTGTTTTTTGTATTGAACATTCTCTTCCTCCCTCTCTCTTTCTCTCCTTCCTTCCCTTCTTCTAGAGGCTGGGTCTTTCTACATAGCCCTGGCTGTCCTGGAACTTGCTAAGTAGATCAGACTGGCCTAGAACTCAAGAAGTCTGCCTACCTCTACCTCCCAAGTGCTGGGATTAAAGGCATGGGCCTGACCTTTTCATTTTTTAAATGTAGGTCCTAAGGATCTGAACCCTGGTCCTCACTTGTGCAGCTCATGCTTTATCTCTGACCCATTTCCCCAGTCTCCCTATTTTTTTCCATTTATCTACCTACCTACCTACCTACCTACCTACCTACTAACCAACAGTCTCCTTATGTAGACCTGGTTGGCCTGGAACTTGTGGATATCCTCCTGCCTCAAGCCTTTTGAGTTCTGGGATTGTAGGGATGCACCAACCCCTCCTGGCTGAACTCACTTTAAAATGAGTGTTTACAGTTTGTCTCCATTGTCCGATGACACACTGCTCCCTAGTCTCTTCAATTACTCTTGTCTTTTGTCTTCTGTTTTCTAGTATGCACTTGGGCTTGCCTTTCCAGTGATCATCATGGATAATTTCTTCATCAGCATTATTATGAAATATAGCAGAGAGGAATTTTAAAGCCTGCAATTTCTAAGTTGGCATCTTAACTTCCTATGAAAAAGCAGTAACAAAATTGAGCTCCTTTTTGCTGAGTTTGAAAAGAATCCTATTACTTCAAACATTGCCTCTTCTGGGAAAATTAATGTTTTAAGTGATAGCGTATGGCTGTCAAGTATTTGGGTCTATTCCTGGGTGCTTGTGACTTAGAGTGTATGTGTAGGAAGCGTCTTGAAGATTGACATGGCTGAGCATGGGTCACTGGGATGTTCTCATAGACTCTTGTTTGAAATGACAGTATCTTTTGAGGGAAGTCTGCAGATGTCCACAACCCTTTGGTGTAGGGTTCGGTTCTTTGTGTGACTCAGTGGCTGGTTGTGGTTAGGAGCTTTAGCTTTTCTGCTTGGCCGTCCCTGGGTTTGGCAAACTTGGTTGAACATCAAGCAGTGGACCCTAATTTAATAATAACTAGAGTTGTAATGGCTAATTTGTCAAGATAAACAAAGGAGGTTGTGTGTGTGTGTGTTTGTGTGTGTCTGTATCCCAGTATGTCTGTAATCTTAGCACTTGGAAGGTTTAGGCAGGAGGATCTTAGCTTGAGGTGAGACTGGGCAGTATAAATAGTGAAATTGCTTTTTTAAAAAGTAAAACATTTACTATATTCTTCTCTGCTGGCTAACTAACCACCTTCTTCCTGACCTCTATTTTTTCATCATTTTTTTCCTTTGGTGATATGGGGGAATTAACCAGAGCCTTGCATGTACTAATATTTCCACTCTAGTGTTATGCTTACATGTATGTTACATTGTCTTAACATTACAGCTTTTAGTCCACTGAAATAGGAAGCTAAACTGATAAAGGAAAGGGGTAAATTAATTTCTTCAGTCTAACGCTCTCCCAACTGAGCTATTTTGGCTTGATAAATTAATTTCTTAAAAGATCTTGAAGTTGTGTTTATAGATGATTTTTTTTTTTGGTATTGTTTTGAGATTGGATCTTAGGTGGCTCACTCAGGCTGGCTGTGTAGCTGAGGCTATCCTTGAACTCCTGATCCTTCTGCCTCTAAGTACTGGATTACAGACTTGCTCTATCATGATCAGCTTCGGTCTGTTCTTTTAGACTGTACAACTCAGCAGGTAAGTTTGCATCCTTCCACATATTATACAGGAGACCTTTTCATATATCATTAATCTAATCATTAAATAATCTGAAAGGTATTTATTTATTCTTTTTGTCCTTTGTGGCAGGGTTTCTCTGTGTAGTCTTTGGTTGTCCTGGAACTTGCTCTGTAGACCAGACTGGCCTTGAACTCACAGAGGTTTACATGACTCTGCTTTCCAAGTGTTAGGATTAAGGGTGTGCACCACTACTTCCAGTCCAGCTATTTTTTTTTATTTTTATTTTATGTGCATGAGTGTTTCCCCTGAATATATGTATACATACCACATGGGTGGAGTTTCCAAAGAGGTCATAGGAAGGTGTTGGATTCCCTGGAATTGAAGTTACAGGCATTGTGAATTTTCATGTCGGTTCTGGGAACTGAACCTGGGTCCTCTGCTAAATTAACTAGTGCTTGTAAACTCTGAACCATCTCTTCAGTTTCTCTGAATGTTTTCTAAGCATAATTTCCATTAAAAGTATCAGGTATACTCTCCTTCTCAGGAATTTGAAATTTTATATAGATGGGTAGTTTAAAAAATTAATAGGTAAATGACTATTGACTAATTGCCAGGTTTCTAGCTCCTACTAGATTGCCTGGGAGCGTCAATCAAGGAACTGCCAACTTAAAAATATGTGGAAGATTATCCAGGAAAAGAAATAAACTGTGAAGTGTTTGGAAAATATCTTTGCCTAAGGGAATGGAACAGAGAATTATGTTAGAAGTTGAGCCAGAAGGGATTATCTCAGGTATTCCTGAGCATAGGTGATAAATCTATTTCAGAAGATATTTCCAGTGAGTTTGAAGTTTGCATTCTGCAGTGTTTAATGCAGGGAAAAACACAAAAAAGTAAGAAATGATATCCAGAAAAACCAGCACATTCATAAATCAGGGTCTTAGTGATAAAGTGGAGGCAATGGCGTAGCCATGGAAAGTGATATCAGCCAAGCAGACATACTATGGGAAGAACAGAACTTTAAACTCTGTGTGTGACTAAGAAGCTATCTATTAGTGTGGCTATTGCTGAATAGGAACCAGGTAGTGTAGGGGCCAGAACTAGAAGAATCTGGGGAAGGAATGGACTGCTCTCATGGAGAGGATTTGCCAAAGACCTTGTTTGCGTTGTCCCCCGGCTTTGTCCTGTGTATTCATGTGTGCTCTATGGTTTCTGTGTGAGGAAATGACTGTCATGTGAGGAGATAAGATGAAAAGATACACAGGTATAGCCAACTGCTACTTATTAAGTGCCAGGTGAGTGACAGGGACACGGAGGAATTTAGAGGAGTGAAAGACCTCTGCATGCTTGGTGATTAGGGAAGTCTTTACTGTGGAGGGCAGGTCTCGGTTACAAAACATTCCCAGCAGCAGGCCTATGATTTCCAGGGGTGGGAAAGGAAGGCCTTGGTTCTCTGAGGAGGAAGCATGGCCTGAGAGCCAAGCACAAAGGACAGGAATGAGCAAGACTTGTTTAGGCAGCAGAGACAGGCTTGGCCTGTCCCAAAGGAGGATTCCACAGATTAACTGGAGGAGGGTATGAGGAGGGCTGGGTGTAGCATGGGACCCCTGCTGACAGCTAGGCCAGAAGTCAGTTTAGGTGGCTGGTCTCTTTAGATTTTTAGAACTTCATGTGGCCACAGTCATTAAGAAAGATTCCTGGATTGCAAGGCAAGTTCAGAAGACTAGATAATCTGTAAAACCCACTTGATAGAAATGTAACCAGATGAACAAGAAGTCAGAAGAGGCTGGCCTTACTCAAGTAGTCTTCATTCAGAAGACATGGGGAAATTGGA